AAGGTCCCCCACAGGGGTTTGGAGAGGCTGGGGAGGGACGTGGTCAACTCTTCCTGCACATCCCCTGCCTTGGGCTCACCATTTGGAGCTGGAGGAGAGGGGCTGGGATGGAGGCTGATCTCCTTAAGTTTCCCTTAAGTCATATTAGAAAAAACATGTAACCAGTTAAAAAGGAGCTAAATAAAATCACCATGGGGCATATTTTATTAAAAAATATTAAGTGTCACAGCCTTGGTTTTTAGATGGTCATGCAGTACCTGAGACCCGGTGAGCACGTGGTCTTGCAGGTGGTGGTTTAGGAGCTCTGCTATCTGGACACGTAGCAGCAGCTCAATGATAGGGTTGGTTAAGTGGGACTCAGCTCTGTTTCCCAGGAGAATGACTCAGCCTGTGCTGGGATAATAACCGTTTGTTGATCTCCCAGGGTGGAGATTAGTGAGGGGGCGAAAGCAAGATCACATCCCAGTAACTGTGATTTCTAAGTGTGCTTTAAGGCTACCAGAGAGCAATGCTGCACTGGTTTTTGGAGCTATTCCTCCCGTCATAAAAGACTGGAACTGGCAGAATCCTGAAATCCCAACCTAAGCATCGTTCAGAACATCTCTATTGTACTTCTTCCAAATAGTTGGAATTCACAAGTGAATTTCACAGGAGGCCTCCAGCAGGAAGTGGTTGGGAAGCCAGCGAAGGTGTTGGTAGGAAACTGTGTAAGGTCTCTTGCCAAGTTCACTGGGGTGAACGTGATCCAGTCCTGGGCCATTGCAAGGCTTTCTCATGACCCATACGGGGCCGGTGTTACCTTTGCAAATGACTTTTCATGTGGAACGTTAGTGCTTTCATGTTCCAAGACAACTCAATCTCTTACCTAAATGAAAAGTGGGTAAAAGTTGGATTCTGAAATTCAGTTTTCAATATCAAATAAGTTTTTCTCCTTTCTCCTTTGCTTTGTTTAAATGTGATTTTGGAAGTTGCCTCTCTAAATGATCTTACAACTGGATAGAGAAACGGGTGAAGGCTGACTTCTCAGATCTTGTCATTGTGCGTTTTGTAAGCATGCTAGCTCTATTTTATTTTATTTTACTTAGCATCCCAGAAGGGGGAAAGTGTGTGTGTACATTTATTTTTTTTTTAATATATTTTTAATATATTCACCTACATGATCAGAAAAATCAATGTCTGTTCCTTCTCAGAATTATAGCATCGATTCTTAGGGCTCAAATGTGTTAATTAACATTTGAAAATCAGAGGAGGAAGACATGGCGAAGGAGCATAATAGTAAAACAAGTTTTCTCGGAAACATGGCTCAGCAACACTGTCCTGATTGAACGTGCAAAAATGCGTGCCCCGGGGAGGTCTGATTTCAGCCCTTGCGGAGCCTGGCTGAGCTGGCTGCTCCAGGATTGACACTCCCATCTCCTCTCCCCTCCCTGGCTCCCTGGTGATGAGCGCGCGCCTCTTTATTTTTATTTGACCTGGAGCCAGTTGCACGGATTCCAGCAAAGAGAAAAGGGCCTGGCATGGTTTCTCTCCCTCCCTCGGAGCTGGCCTGCTGAAATGATTGATAATTCCCGGGACGACACTCCCAAGAATAAAGTCCCTTTCATTTGGCCTGATATACACTGGTTTCTCGTGTGTACTCTTGTTTGAGAACTAGACAGCACCCCATTCTTTAGCCCTGAAAGCGGGGATGTCGCTAGAGGGGGCCTCGTGTTGCCGCTTGTTAGCGAATCCCAGTTTGCTTTTGGGGGATGACGTTGTGACGCGCAGGGTCCGGGGTTTCAGGGCTGGTAAAAGTCCCTTGTTGGGCTCTCCACCCGCTCTGTCCTCAGGGGCGCAGTGCCGCTTTCCTCCTGCGATTCCTAAACAGGAGGATGTTACTTTGAAGGTTTCATGACATCAGTAGTAAAAAACGTACTCATGGTAGGAAAATCACAGCTGAAGAGAGAGGCGCCGTCAGAACTCCCCCCCCCCCCCCCCCGGGTGCAAGTGATAAGCTCCACTGTGTTTGGCTGCCCTGACACGGGGCTTCCCTCTGGGGGTTCCGACGAGCAGATACCTGCCAAGCTGTTGCTGTAAGGGCCAAGGAGAAGGAAATTTCCTATGATTATGGCTCTGCCTCTCTCCACCCATTTTTTTCTTCTTCTAGCCAATTGGCTATATTTTCTTCGGTCTTAGACCTTGACCTCCATGTTAGTGATCTTGTGAACGGCCCCTTCTCCTGGGCCCCTCCCGGGTTTCCTGAACAGCTTGTGTTCTTAGCAAGAAATACTCAGTGATCTTGGGTCCTCTGCTCCTCTGTGCCTCGGTTGTACCTCCAAATGAAGGACAGTGGCCATTGTTCATGTTGTGAGGACTCAGTGAAATCACCTGCAGGTATGCAGAAGGCACTCATACACTGCCAGGCATAGAGGCAGTCATTCATCCTACAGGCGTTTATTGAGTGCCTATGACGTGCCAGTCACGGTCCTAAGTGTCAGCGACACCAAGAGGAGCAACCACAGGACCAGCCTCTGCCCTCATAGAGCTTCTAGCTCCGTAGAAGATTTGGGTATAAATTAATCACATGTTGTTTTTTTTTTTCCTCCAAATTGGGCCAAGGACTAGAAAGGAAAATTACAAGGAGCTTCATTGGGCTCTGACCTAATCAAAAGACATTTTTAATAACATTTTAATGGAGATCAGAAGAGGAATAAGACTGAACTAGGACAGAGAGGTTTTGGGGCCCCCACCAGCCCTGAGATGCATTTCAGCAAATAAAGAAAATGTGTCCGGACCTCAGGGCAGATGTGGCTCCGCACTGAGAAGCAGGGCTTAGCGAGCAGAGCATGGGCTGGGTTGTGCAGCCCCCTGGCCCTTCTGCTGGGTGCCTTCAAGCAGAGAGCAAGCTGCACAGCTGTGCCCGTGCCTCTGGCTGGGGTAGGGAGACTTTGGAGACAGAGGAAAACACCTTTGCAAAGGCCAGAGGAGGGAGGGAGCAGACCCATTTGAGAGCTGAAAGGGGGCATGGCTGGAGTACTGGGCAGGGCAGGTGGGCCAGGGGTCCAGGAAACCCGGGGGCGTCAGTTACCCTTGGGGCATGAGAACATTTTTCTCATAAATTCACTGCCAGCACCCAAGGTCCAGGGTCTCCTGAGAAACATCAGGTTCCCTCTAGAGGCCATAGATTGCTAACCAGTGGGGGAAATTACTTCAGGGATGTGAGTTGTTGGTGTCACACCACTAGGATTTAGAGAATAAGGACAGTGGAACAGAGGACAGTGACACTGACTGTGGGAAGCAGGGAGCAGTGGGACCCCCCCCCCCAGGACTCCAGCCAAAGAAGGATGCTCCGTCACAGCCCAGGAGGCCAGAGTTGAGCATCGAGAGGTGAACACAAACAGGACCCCACAAGAAGATACCCCATTATGGGAATAAAAATGGCAACTGAACATTAGGGAAAGGTTCCTCACAAAGCTGTCGCTTTCAGGTGTAATTATCTTTACAAGGAAGTGGAAGACTCTCCTTTACCTGGTCTCTCAGGTCCCGTCCAGCTGGAAAACCCAAGTCTGGCAACAACCCTGCGCTGCCTTGAAATGGTCTCCACGGCCTGTGTTCTTCCTGGCTTTGATTTCTTTGATTCTGGAATCATTTAAAAGAGCATTCACTCATTCAAACAAATACACTTTATCGAGGTGTTCTTTTCTCTCTCTCTCTCTTGTTTAAGTCCATGTTAGGAGAGAAATAAGATCCCAGATAGATTCTGGAGAACCGAGTTCTGATGCGAATGAGCTTTGCAGTCTGTGCCAGCGGGGCACACAGGTCCCAGGGAAGCCCTGGCTTTGGGAGTGGATAGATCTGGCTCCGGATCCTGATTAGGCCCCCTGGGCAAGCTGGGTGACCTCGTGCAGGTCGGTCAGCCTCTCTGCACAGTGAGAGTTCCAGTAAGCTCCAGCTGTCATCAGGGAGAGCTTTGAGGCCAGGGAAGTAGGGATCCTTCTTTTTCAAAGTCATTTCTGGGGATCTTGTACCAGAGCAGCCTCCATGTGATCCACGTCCATTCAGGGGTTTATTCCTTTGTATTCTGAAAAGATTTGTTCCTTGCTTTTCAGAGCGAGCTGTGCTTTGGCTTTGGGGAAACATGAACCAGCATTGAGACAGACTTACAAGACTTTATCAGCAGTCTGTACTTCTGTTAAACTTCCAGAGGAACAAAAAGCCTATAATCATGATTTTTCCATGTGGTATCTATGATAAAATTATTCATGATCTAAAACTCCCACGAGAACACTGTCAGCTGACCCAGCACTTGAGATATGGTATTGCTTATTAAGATGTAAATGTGGAACTTAAAAATATGCTTGAACTTGATCTACATTAACTCAAATGTACGCTAATCAGAGGTAAATTCCGATATTTTCCTTTCAGAAGAACTATTTAATTTTTCTTCAATAGAAAGCTGGAGGAAGAGCCCTTGATTATTTCTGACACAATGTAGAATATAAAGGCTGGGTTTCCTCTGTCTCTTGTATTATTCATATAGTTGATTTTTTTTTTTTTTGGTACCGGGAATTGAACTCAGGGGCACTCAACCACTAAGCCACGTCCCCAGCCCTATTTTCTATTTTTTTTTTTTTTTTAGAGACAGTCTCACTGAGCTGCTTCGGGCCTCGCTGTTGCTGAGGCTGGCTTTGAATTGTGATCCTCCTGCCTCAGCCTCCCAAGCGTGCACCACGGTGCCCAGCGTTCATATAGTTTTATATCAGCAACATGCAGGCTGCACCTTCAAAAATAGCATGCAAGATTAACAGTGATTTAGATTATGCTGCTTTAAAACCCAGATCAGATTTGAAAATCAGAAATGCTAACTCATACACACACTTTTCTGTCAAAAATTATGTTGCCGTCTTTTAAGAATGGAGATGGGTGAGGCTTTTAATCAGAGGGACCATTATATTGTCAAAGTCATTGCTGGGGCTCAAGAGCAGATTCTCATGATCATACAACCATTTATTGCTTTTCAGCCCGCGACCACCAATCCCACTGTCCCTCCTGCTGACTGACGTGGACGCTGCGATCGCCATTCAGTCCTTCTGGAGAGCCTATCTGGTAAGGTCACGTGCAATTGTGGCATTTGGCTTGATGGAGAATTTCCCATGGAGGGCCCATGGGAAAACCCTCAGAAGAATTAGAAACAGAGGCTATTAGGGTTCACATCCAGACCCCAGAAACAGGATTTTCTGTTTTTTAAAAGAGTGATTTAGAATTTTTACCAAAACTTATTTTGCAATTTTCATTAAAATTACCCTCCAGCTTTTCAAAGTTGAATTGACTGGCCTGTATTGCCTAAAATAATATTGCATATACACAGAGAGGAATACACTGTCATTTTAGAAAAAAAAATTAAGATAAAACTAAAGTCTGAGACACTGATAACTCCATCATCAAAAAACAATCATTATGGGCTAGGGTTGTGGCTCAGAGGTAGAGCACCTGCCTCAAACATATGAAGCACTGGGTTCGATCCTCAGCACCACAGAAAAAAATAAATAAGCAAAATAAAGTTACTGTGTCCATCTACAACTAAAAAATTTTTCAAAAAATCACTAAGACTGGGGATATCGCTCAGTTGGTAGAGTGCTTGCCTTGCATGCAAAAGGCCCTGGGTTCAATCCCCAGCACCAACAATAGAAAATAAAAAAATTATTAACATTTTGGTTTAAAATTTTCCAAACTTTAAAAATTTTAATATATAAAACGACATATAAATACCTGACATATAGAAAATTACTTTTTCTTTTCTAGCTTGTCTTCCCCGACCATTTTCCTATTTTGAACTTTGAGGTTGTTTCCAGATCTACTGTTATAACAAGTGTTGCCATGAGTATCTTTGTGTAGTCACATTTAGTGACTTGGTCATTTATGTAGGAGTCCCATTTGGTCATTTACGTAGGAGGAATTCTAGAAGTGGAATTTCTAGGTCAAAAGGGGAGTTTCTTTTTAAAGCTCCTGATCCCTATTGCCATGAGGCCCTCTGGGAAGGATATCCTTTTAAAAATTGTTCCCAGAGGCATTTGAGCACATATCCCAAGCTAAAAACGTACACAGCATCTTCATTTGGTGATTGGAGCTTCAGGTAGACACATGGCTCGTATCCATGTCTGATGGTGAGATATCAGTGGAAGGAGTTTAGAGGCAAACACTGCACGGGAACAGGACCTGTGGATGCGCAGGGAGCCAGAGGGCTCTACCCGGATGCACTCTTCAGAGGTAGGGTGTGGGGAGGAGACTGAGATGGATACGCTGGCAGTTGTCCATCGAGAAGTTTGACTAACCCCAGTGAGCAACCATCAATCATTGGCAAATGCTTGTTATGTGCCTATCCGTGGGACAGTCCCTGACCTCAGGAGCTTCCTATCTGGGGTGATGTTCTGTGGACATTCCACTCCTCGTGTGCCTGGCACATTCCTGAAAACAGGGGCTGCAGTCAAGTGAGAAGGTCAAATGTTAGACTTGCACATGAAAGGAGCCGTCTGTGCCTAACAGTTTACAAACCCCCTATTGTGCCCGGTGATTGAGACACAGTCTTGGATGATGTAGGTTTTCAGTATTCTGTACATACTCTATATATAAATGTGGGCTTTTTCCTTCATAACTGAGCACCAGCAGGTTAGCTTAGGGTCCAGTGATATGCAGCCAAGGTCAACGAGCCCAGCTTTCACGTGCTTCTTGAATTCTTCGTTGTCATTGTTCTGCATTTATGAACTTATTACATATATGAGGCTTATTATGAGTCAGTCATTTTATTTTTCTGTTTTCATTTCCTTTTCATGAAATGATAGTGACATAGTGCACTGAAAATAGCAATTTTTAGATACCATTTTTTAAAGCAGCAAAGCCCTTTCTTTGAACCAAATCATACCCAGAAGCCAGGAATGCCACAGGATGAGGGGAAATGTTCTGACCCTGGTTCCCCCGTGTGGTGAGACCCCTACCTCTCTCCCTCCACATGTGGGGAGCTTTGGGGCCCAGAGTAAAAACAATCTGTAAGACAGACAAATTCAACTCATCATGCCAACCCCTGCCGTATAAGAAGATGTCGGAGTGGCTCAAAATGGAGCTGTGCCTGTGGGCTACCATCACACATAGCTAGAAATGCTCCTCAAGGTACAAGGGGTCCGTGTGTACCACATGAAAGTTTGGCTGTCTAAATCCAAACCCTTCCTGTGCTAAAATCATAACAGAAGACAGACCTGGCACAGTGGCATATGCCTGTAATCCCAGTGGCTTGAGAGGCTGAGGCAGGAGGATCACAAGTTCAAAGCCAGCCTCAGCAACAGCGAGGCCCTAAGCAGCTCAGTGAGACCCTGTCTCTAAATAAAATACCAAAAAGGGCTGGGGATGGGGCTCAGTGGTCAAGTGCCCCTGAGTTCAATCCCCAGTACCAAAAAAAAAAAAAAAAAAAAAGAGATCCGAGCAGAGATCTAACCATCCCCAGAAAGGAAAGCTGTCTGGTGTCTGGGAAGCCACCAGGGAAAGAGGGTCCAGATCTCAGCTTTAAGGAAAGGTGGGCACGGATGTGTCAGCCACAACCAAGAGGAATCCCAGGGAGAGGAAATAGCTTATGTGTGTTATGGATTTTTTTATTACAACATAGCGTCTGTGTTAACACACACACTCGCACATCCACATAGGAAAATATCTGAAAGGAAACAGTCACCTGACAGGATGGGTACCTTGGGGTGGCTAGAGAGAACTGGGGAGACCAGCCTTATATGTTCTGAACACATTTCTTTACAAAGAGAATGTGGTCTGATTTTATTTAATTAAAATTAACTTAAGCCAAGGGGTCATCTCTGTGAATAGATAAACTATTTGACAAAATCTAACATGCTTTTATGATAAAAAGACTCCTCAAGCTGGGTGTGGGGGACACACCTTTAATCCCAGTGGCTCAGGAGACTGAGGCCACCTTCAGCAACTTAGCAGGTCCCTAAGCAACTTAGCGAGACCCTGGGTCAAAATAATTTTTTTTTAAAGGGTTGGGGATGTGGCTCAGTGGTTAAGCACCCTGGGTTCAATCCCTGGTACCCCAAACAAAACAAAACCACTCCACAAACTGGGAAGAGCAGGGGATTTCTTATACTTGATCAAGGGCATCTATGAAAACACCACAGCAAACATCATATTTAATGGTAAAAGACTGGATGGTTTCCCCGTGGGTTAGGAGCAAGAGAAATATGTCCTCTCCTGTCACTTCAATTTAAGGTGATGGTGGGGGTTCTAGCCAGGAAAATCAGGCAAGAAAAAAGGCATGTAGATTGTCGAGGAAGAGGGTGTGGTCTTGTATATAGAAAATCCCAAGGAATTCACTTAAAAAAAATAAGAGCCTATTAGAAATAATAAACATGTTATCAAGGGTGCAGGATAGAAGGTCAATATATAAAAATCAATTGTATTTAAATACACTCCACAGTGAACCATCTGAAAATGAAAAGACAATAACGTTTGCCATAGCATCAAAAAATAAAATACTTAGGAATATAAATTTAACTAAAAGTGAAAGGCTGTTTATGAAAACTGCAAAATACTATTGAAAGACATTAAAGAAGACCCAAACAAAGAGAAATGCATGCATGTTCATTGATCAGAAGAACTTGATACTATAAAGATGGCATTTTTTTTCCAAATTGATCTACAAATTTGAAATGATTCCTATCAAAATCCCAGCTGAGTTTTTTTTTTTTTTAAAGAAATTGACAAGCTCATCCTAAAATTCATAAGAAAATGCAAGGGACCCAAAATAGTCAAAAACAGTCTTAAAAAAGAAGAACAAAGAAGGACTCACACTCCTCTATTTCAAAGCTTATACAAAGCTACAGCAATCACCACTGTATGGACTAGCAGAAGGATAAACATAGATCAATGGAATAGAGTGGAGAGTTCAGAAGTAATCCTTTTGCTGACGACCAGTTGATTTTTCAGCAAGTGTGCCAAGACCACTTAATGAGAAAAGAATAATCTTTTCCACAAATGGTGCTGGGACAATTTGGATATCCACATGCAAAAGCAGGAAGTTAGACCCTGACTTCAGACCATATACAAAAACTAATTCAAAATTAAAGACTTAAAGTGTTAAGACTATAAAATCTTAAAAAAACAGGGATATAAATTTTGGAGTAAGTAACAGTTTTTATAGCAAAAAGAACTAGTGACAAAAGAAAAAATAGATAAGTGAACTTCATCAAAATTAAAAACAAGTGCTTCAAAGAATACCAAACGAGTGAAAGTCAACTCACAGAATGGGAGAAAATATTTGCAAATGTTACATAAAATAAAGGTCTAATTTCCATTATACATGAAGAATTCTCACAATCCAATGATAAAAACACAAATAACCTAATGATAAAATTGACAAAATGTTTGAATAAAAACTTCTCCAAAGAAGATATACAAGTGGTGGAAAGAGGCCCAACATCTTTAGTCATGAAATGCAAATCAAAGCCACAAAACAATGTTTTCACTTCATACTGTAGAGCATGGTTAGAATCAAAGACAGTCAGTGTTCCTGAGAACTCAGGGGACCTGGAGCCTTCCCGCACTGCTGATGGAAATGTCAAATGGTGTGCCGACTTGGAAGACAATCTGGCGGTTCCCCAAAGAGTTAAACAGAGTTTCTGCTCTGAGACCCAGCAACACCACTCTTAGATATATATTTAAGATAATAAAAACATCTTATTAGCCAGAGTGGTGTCACATACCTGTAGCCCCACCTACTTTGGAGGTCAGGACAGGAGATTTATAATTGTGAGGCCCTGTCTCAAAAATAAAATTTTAAAAAAGGCTGGGGGTAGGGCTTGAGCTGTGGCTCAGTGGTAGAGCACTTGCCCCACATGTAGGAGGCCCTGGGTTCAAGCCTCAGCATCACTTAAAAATAAATAAAGGTATTGGGTCCGTCTACAACTAAAAAAAGGGCTGGGGGTGTAGCAGGCAAGTTCAAGGCCCTGGGTTTCATCCTCAGTACTAACACATATGCATACCCTCCCCCCCCCCACACACACATCTGTTCATATAAACCCTTATACACAAATGTTCCTAAAAAGCATTAC